TGGCATTGGCAAATGCCCTGAAAATTTACAGATATGTAGTTTACATAATCAATAACTCATTAAAAAAAATTCAAAAAATCATAAAATTGTTTAGGCCCCGAAATAAAGTGAAAACAAAAAGTTAAAAGTGAAAAAAAACAAAATAGTGAGTGGGCGAGCACGTTTTGACACCCCCATCTTTGACGATTTGTAATGTTTTTTTGGCTTACCAGAATGGCTTCAAAATTTATAGGCGTGTAGGTTACATCATAGAGAACTCAAAAAAAATCAATTCAGGAAAAAAAACTTATTTTTAGGCCCCGAATGTTTTTTTGGCGGGGGCCGAACCTGGAGATGTTCGGCCCCCGAACGGGACCCCGAACGCCCCAACGTTCGGGGGCCAGCCCGGGGGCCCCGAACGTTCGGTCAGGTAACCCTGGTCACAAACATATATATATATCGTCAAATATATATATATATATATATATATATATATACGATATATATGTACATTATACATATATATACCTAAGGGAGCCCCTACTGCAAGACCCCCCCTAGACTCCGCATCCCGAACAGCACCAGTCTCAATCATCGGTATGTATGTGCCCCCCAACCATTCCTCTTACCTCTATCCTTGACCGGGCTATTCCTGTTTATCCTCCAAGGAGGCCCTACCACGGGACCCCCCAATCATCCCACCTGCATCCCTGCCTCCCCAAAGCAGAAACCTAACGTAACCAACTCACGTGACATAACCCTCCACAATATCCCGGCCCACATCTCAGCTATCTCCATGCGAGTATGATCTGCCCGGCCTGATCAGATTCAAACCCTCAACCTCATCCATACAGCCCCCTAGCTCAGACCCACTGAGCTACAATGACAACTAACTTGTTCTTGGGCTGTGCTGTTGTGCTCGACCAGGGGACAAGTGTGCAATCATCAGAACAACCCATGGGCCTATGTTGTCATTTTTGTTCATACAGAAATCAGAGCACAATGGACTAATTTAAAAAAGTAAGTGGCAAATATAGCTTCTTCTTTTTTTTTTTTAATTTAAAAGGTAAGTTGCACAATTTCAAGCAGAGAAAAGACACACAGTTTCGAGACAGGACCCTCGGGGTGAGGCTCCCCGTGTGCTACTCTTTGTTTTTGTTTTTTTTGAAAGATGCCAGTCTCAGTATCCTAGGTGGAGTGATATGAGCCCCTCCACCTAGTCACCTTTTTCTTTTCCATTTTCCATTTCCTTTTTTGTTTTTCAAGTCCAGGTTGTTGCAGAGGTCAGACCACCTTTTTCTTTTCCATTTCCTTTTTTTTCCCTTTTTTTTTGAAGTCCAGGTTGTTGGAGAGGCCAGGTTCCGGACACATGGTGGTTGCTGCATCAGCCAGCCATTGGTTGTCTTGACAATTGTTCCATTTGTGAAATTGTGAGACCGCCTCCCCAACCCATCCTCTCACCGATTCTCCCAGCGTACCCCGTATTCCTACTACTATCCTACCTCAGTGTTAATCACTTCGGACTACTACCTCATTATCTCAGAGCATGACATGGAGGGAATAACAGTTACAGGCACCAGGGACCTCATTATCTCAGAGCACTACATGGACCGAATAACAGTTACAGGCACCAGGGCTGGGCATGCTCAACAGGACAAGCCCGGACTAGCCCAGCTTAACCAAGGCAGGATCACGGACAGGCCTGGCGAGGCTATTAACCTCCTCCCAGCCCTAGTTGAAGCACACACGAGCGAGAGCCTTATCACACGGGCACTTCAGACGCCAGGCTCAAGCAGTATCCAATCGGCCTCACAATTACTACCCAGATCCTTACTCAGGCACCCGAATTAGGCAGACTCAATGGACAAGCCCTGACTGGCCCAGCTTGCCCAGGGCTACCTTCTTCCCCCGAATACAACGTACGGTCATTATAGCTGTATTTGAGCCATCTTTCAGTCTAGGTACAGCTATAATGACCGTATGTTGTATTCGGGGGAAGAAGGTAGGTGGATCACAGACAAGCCCAGAGCGGGTGGTGTTAAACCCGTACCCAACCCTAGTTACTGACCCCCATCTGAAAGTCCCCCCAATCCCAGATGGGGTCTATGACACCCCTAGCAAGGACTGGATCCTGGCACTGTCGTTAACTGTATGTGTGGCCATAGGCTGTATGTATGTACTCCCGTAGGCTATGTGTATGTACTCCCATAGGCTATGTATATGTACTTATCAANATTGTATATTGTCGTTAACTGTATGTGTGGCCATAGGCTGTATGTATGTACTCCCGTAGGCTATGTGTATGTACTCCCATAGGCTATGTATATGTGCTTATCAATTGCATATCGTGCACGTCAGCTGTATCTATGCATATGTCATATCCATCTATCCATAAGCATGGTATGTGTATCTGTAGACTGTATATGTTGTGTATAGAAATTATGTCCTTCTGTGTATTCAGTCAGACCCGGCTCTCACCATTGTATAACAGTCATCCTCAAGTTCTCAACCATGTGCACTACAGTTTCAAATGGTACCAAAATACGATATGCCAGACTGGGGGGATCATCACAACAATCTACGGTCAACATCCTTAGGCAACCTACCGCATAATCAAGCCCCTACATGCAACAACCCTGGTGTCACTGAATCCCTACCTCCCATCTGTTCAGTAATCAAAATATTTCCGGCAGCTGGTTGGTGGGAACGAGAAGTAGGGGATATGTTTGGTCTGTATTTTTCCAACCATCCTGATTTACGTTGTGTGGTGCAGGCAGTGTCTGTAATCCTTACTGTGCATAAATCCCAAGGGCTATAATGGGATATGTGTGTGTGCAGCCGGGCGTGCCAAATGCAGGAAGCTCAAATGTATTGGTAGCGAGCAACACCTGCTGGAAACTGGATCTGCACGAAGCTATATCATATTTGGGAGCATGTTTCGGCAGTATCAGCGCAGCCAGGTCCCACCAATGCTATGTATGTCCTAAGAAGAGAATATTGCGAACTTGGAGGCAAAGAAGTGGCCAGGTTCATGCTATAGCTTTATGTATCGGATCATGAAAGGGGCTAGGAAAGACAGGGCCAGCCTTTCCTGCCAGAAAAAGGTCACCTTTCCAGCACTTGTCTTCTAAGAACAAACATGAATGAATCCTAAGAGACAGGAAGTGTCAGGAGACACATGCCAGAAGACAAAGACAGGCAAACAGGCAGCCACTCTACTACAGGCTTCCCCCAAACATAAGGCATATGCATTGTATTCCAGTTTTTTTTTTTGTATAATCAACGACTTGAATAGGAAGGCAGGGAGACGAGGCGGGGAAAAGAGAGCGAGCGAGCGAGCGAGCGAGCGAGCGAGAGAGAGAGAGAGAGAGAGAGAGAGAGAGAGAGAGAGTGGGGGGGGGGGGGGGGG